TTGTACTATCACCAAGCCAAGAAGCTTGTCCTGTCCAAGCCCAACGAGGATGTTGAACTGTCACTGGACCCCTTCAACTTTGAGCTCATATTTGTCTCTCCGGTGACTGTTTTGGGTGCTAAAAAGTCTGTCCAATTTGCCCCCATCGGCTTAGTGAACATGCTCAACACCGGCGGTGCCATCCAGTCCTTTGTTTTCAATGAGGACGAGAGCTCTGTTCAAGTTGGAGTTAAGGGCACTGGAGAGCTGAGGGTTTTTGCTTCTGAGAAACCAACAAGTTGCAGGATTGATGGCAACGACGTTACTTTTGAGTACAAGCAGAGCATGGTCATAGTCCAAGTGCCATGGCCTGCTTCTTCCACCTTATCTACTGTGGAGTACAAATTCTAAATATAGATTCTAGACCAGTTGTTTTTTTTTTCTTTTCTCATGAGGACCAAGTCTCTTTTGTGTCCGCAACTTTAATTAGGACCAAGGGACTTGGTATACTTAAGCACTGTTGGCTAATTAATGACTACTTAATGATTTCAAGTAATACAAACTATTGAGCTTTTCATTATATATAAGCTTATAAGATTCGCTCTGTTTTTAATTTTTTTTTTGGGTTGTAATTTTCATGTTCTTAGTTTTCCTCTCAATTGTATTTGAGTTGCCCAGTTTGTAGATGGATTTGGGAGATGTAGAACTCCTTTGTGGTGTAACTCTCCACCTTATTTCACCATATGAATTGATTTGCTGCAAACACTTTTGATCTTCTTTTTTGCTACCAAATGAACTGTTTGAAACATTGTGCTTAACCAAGTAGACAAGACACTAATAAATTTCAGCCATTATTTTTCAGTAACTGCATTCAAAGTGCAAAGGGATTTGTAACTCACCTTGCATCCGAGGTCGTAAGTCCGATTCCCCTCTCCCTCAAAATGGTTTTGTATTCACACCAAAAAAATTGCATTCACAGAGTCACAAGTGCAGGGGATAATACAGAGCTTTTCCCTGTTGCAAGTTTAATGCTTTTGCTCCTTTAGAAAATAATCTTGATTGTCCAGAGTCATGTTTATAATGGGCCAATCCTTTGCCTATAGGCCACAAAACGGGCTTTTTCGGAAAAAGAAAAAAGAGGAAGGGCCATGTGGCCCAAAAAAAAACCAAAGCCCAAAGAAGTAAATAAAATTCAAAGAAAAATAATAAGAAATCAAAAGTCGTAAATTCGTAATTTGGTTTTTACGTCGCAAAGAAGCAAAAGCTATTAAAGGAGGAGGTCGTCTCAAACTGAAATTGCTCAAACATTGCCAATCTTCTAGTTCAATCCTTAGCATAGATAAATAAGGAAATTAAATAATACAAATTCCAAAACCCGAAAAGGAGCATCCAAAATTTCAGGCTGCTGTTTGTATATACTCGATGAGCACGACGTCGTTTATGGACAAGCAGATAATGGATCTGTCACAGGGATCGCCGCAGAAGAACAACAACGACTTCATCGACCAGATGAAGATGAACGACAACAACCATCCCAAAGAGGAAGAAGAGCAGCAGGTCGGCCATGGAAATGGGCTTTCCAATAAGCTATATCATGAGATGTTGCCCAGCTACGATTTCCAGCCCATTCGTCCCATCGTCGGAACTTCTTCGCAGTCGCAGAGCTTCGATCCCGCACCCAATCTTGGAGGAGGAGGAGCCGCTAGGGTTTGGAACTCCGGCGAGCCCAAGTCCAACACTACCGCTCCTATCAGAGTAATATTTTTGTTCCATTAATTGCTGAATTTCATGTTCACATTTTCATATGAATCAATCGTAGTGATTAGAAGTGAATCAGAATTGCATTAGTTTGATTAGAATTTGTAGTTTCTCTGAAGCTGCATTAGTCTACTAGGGCAAGTGAGTGACCAATCAGTTCGGTAAGGACCATTTCATTAGCATATAACAAATTGGCAATTATGTCAGTTCAAGAGGTTAATAGTTATATCTGATGATGATCGACACACAGCTTAAAGCTGCAAAAAAATTATTTGCTAGGTTTTGGGGGCTTTTTAGTTGTTGTTTTAATTTCTTCTAGGTAATTTAGGGAATTGATAATTGTGTTTGATTTCTATCTGTTTTGAGATTTTGTACATTGTATTTGTTATTAGCATTTTCAAATTTTGTATGATATGCTTCAGGCTTCAGGTGAAGTTAAATGTTTTGTGATTGGAGGACTCTAATGAATTAGCCCGAGGGCAGTGCGTGAATTAGAACAACAACTTTTTGATTGATCTTGTTGCCATATATGTTAATTATTATTTGAGATTAGATTGATCAAAGATGATGCTATTGGAAGTATTGATGTTTTGTATACCATGATGGGCTTTTATCCACCCCCTTTTTTGAATATAGTAGCCTCCACTTGATTTTTCAAGAAAATCTTCCTGCTGTATGGTAGACTTTAGGTAGACATTTATGATTGATAACTCTATGTCAGCTGTACCATTTGGTTCATTTACATTTACATGGTGCTACCCTTTTTTTGTTTCTTACAGAATTATGGCTCTCTGGATTCTATTGAACCTGCAAAAGTTATTTTACAGAAGGACCGAAATGTACTTGATGCTACAGTTGTGTCAGAGATTGACCAGGCCATGAAGAAGCATGCTGATAATTTATTACATGTGTTGGAAGGTGTTAGTGCACGACTAACACAACTCGAGAGCAGAACCCGCCACCTTGAGAATTCTGTGGATGATTTGAAGGTATCTGTGGGAAATAATCATGGGAATGCTGATGGAAAGATGAGACGGTTGGAGGATATTCTTCGAGATGTATGTTGCCTTTACCCTTCTTTTTGGTGTTTTAGTCAAATAGGACTAATGTTAATTTTGAAATCTTATAAATAGCATTGAAAGTATGATTGATGCAATATGCAGGACGATTGTTAGTCTTGAGCCAGAACTAAATAGAGAGCGTGAGAGCAAAGTTGCCCATCTACCATGCTCTCACCAAATCTGAAATTCTTGAAAATCTTCAATCTTCTAGGCATTTGAATTGCATGGTTTTGGAAACATTTTTACCCCAACAAGATAACTCCTAGTATATCTTACAGCAAGGTCTTCTTAGTTAGGTTTACTTGCTTCCTGGTGAAAGCAAGCATTCATTTGTTTTGGCATGAAAACTGAAGTGTTGTTTATTAGCACACTAGCCTATCTGTTTTTCCGGCCGATGTGTTTATGCTGCTTTATTGACCATTCTTCTCTTTTTGGTTTTTTATCAACATCACATACAGGTACAAACAGGTGTTAAGGATTTGAAGGATAAGCAAGACATAGTAGAGGCCCAGCTGCATCTTGCAAGGATACAAGTTTCCAATCCCAAGGTAGACCCTCAACCAGAACCTCAGAACGCTATGCATGGGGATTCTGGGCAGGCAGCCGCCTCTGCTCCTCAACAATCTCACCAACAACTTCCTCCCCCTGTGAACCTTCCTCCCCCTGTGAACCTTCCACCCTCACTTCCTGCTGTCTCTCACCCAAATGCTCCTCCCCAACCTATGCCCCAAATTGTACCGCATACAGTTCAACTTCCAAATCAGTTTTCTCAGAACCAGATCCCTCCTGTCCCTCAGCAAGACCCTTATTTCCCACCGCCTGGTCAAAATCAAGGAGCCCCAAATCAGCAATACCAATTACCTCCAGGTCAGCAGACGGTCCCCCTTCCTCCAGTGCCACCACATCAACAATTTCAACCTACCACTCAACCACAGTATTCTCAGCCACCACCCCAGCTGCCACAACAGCACCCTTCACATACACCTGTTAATCCCTCTCAACTCCAGCCTACATTAGGCCACCATGCTGAAGAGACACCTTATATTCCTTCCCAGAACTACCCACCCAGTCTTCGTCAGCCACCTTCTCATACGCCCAGTGGTCTTCCCCCCTCCCAACAGTATTATAGTCCAGCTTCCCAAGCGTATGAGCCACCTTCTAGCAGATCCAGTACAGGGTATTCTTCTGGGTATAGCCCTCCAGCTGGGCTTGGTGAGTCATATCATTATGGTGGATCACCTTCTCAATATGGTGGTAGCTCCTCAATGAAACCACCACAACTCTCTTCTTCTGCTACAGCTCAAAGTGGAGGAAGTGGTTACCCACAGCTACCAACTGCTCGGGTACTACCACAAGCATTGCCTACTCCATCTGGGGCAGGGGGTGGTTCAGCTTCAGCTGGGACTGGAAACAGAGTTCCCATTGAAGATGTGATTGACACCGTGACAACTATGGGTTTCCCGAGAGACTATGTTAGGGCCACTGTTCGAAAGATGACAGACAGCGGCCAGTCAGTTGACGTCAATGTTGTGCTAGATAAGTTGACGAATGATGCGGAAGTTCAGCAGCCTAGAGCTTGGTTTGGTCGATAGTATGGTGTTGCCTGCTCCGGACCGATGTATATGAAGTATCACTTGTTTCTAGATCGTCTATCGCTTGGAACTTAGGAGATGCACCCTTTTATGTATTTTGCGTTTCTCTTAATTTCCTTCTGAGGGATTTACATTCCATTGCGTGCGCTTTGCATTGAACCTATTTTCTTTCTTCGCTAGCTTCTGTAAGTGATCACATGTCTTCCTCTCATTTGTGTATTTACTCGTAATAAATGGCAGGTGGTTTATTGAGTTTTATCATCTGTTACCATTACACAATTTTTAACGCTATTGCAAATTTTCCCTATTGCATTTTTCTGCCGATAACAGGAATCTTTTCCTCTAAAGAAAGAATATTATTTCCAAGAAAGAGAGAGAAAAAGAGAAATATTATTTTCACAGAAAATATAAAAAAAAAGAAAATAATTAAACGTGAAAAATACATTTGTCAAAAATAAAATAAGAAAACCCCACCTTTCCAAACATACACGGATGCACCCCACCAAAAAAGGAATAAAAAAAAGAAAGAAAAAGAAATGCAAAAGAAAAAAAAAAGTCTCTTGAGACACTTCCACAATTTCCATAATCTTATAGGAGAAAATGCAATTTTGTAATTCTAGTTTTGGTCCACACTTTATTTTATTTATTCCTTTTTTTGGCACAGCGTCGTCTCTCTCAAAAATCCTGTTTGCTCCGCACAGCTCCAAACCCCCAAAACAAGTCACAGTCGCAAAACCTCTTTCTCTCGCATATTACTACCCCGCCAAATCTCTCTCTCTTTCTCTCACGCAAAAGCTTTCGTTCGATAGACCCCCTCGATTACCTCATTTTTACGATCCTTACCCCTACCTGTTCCCTCTGCAACTATGTTTCTTCCCGAAATTGCCTTCCATGACCTCCGTGCATTGCTCCGCGCTCCGTAGCGAAGTTGAATCAATCTCTATGTATGAAGCTTTAGGAGGCATTTGTTGCTCAATTCTTTTAGAACACTCGGTAAGAATTTATGCTTAATTATTTGATTTTACTTCTCCGTTCTTTTAAACCTAAATTATTATCAGCTAATGCAATTCCTAGGAGTTTAATTTTCAATATTCTGTTAATTATATTGGATTACTTATCGTTTTCATATGTAATTGTGAAAGCCTATGGGTTTTAGGAGTTTAATTTTGATAGTGCGGACGTGTATATATAAAATTGCATTCAGTTATTGACCAGTGTTTTTCATTTGGGTTTCGCTTACTTAATTTATTTAAGCTGTTTGTGTCTGTTTCTAATATGGTCATTGCTTTGTGCATTAATCATATCTATAGAGTGTTGATTTAAGTGGTTCAACGATCATCATTCATTCTAATAATCAGTGAACATGAAGTACTGATCTTGAATGCAATTTCGCATAGCTCCATAAAAACAATTCAATTCATTTTGCTTCTAAATTTGCGTTGGCACATGTATGCTGATTACACAATGTGTATCAAGTTGATATGGTTATGGTGCAAGGATTTCAAATTGTTTGCACCTCAAATGTTTTTCATGTTTGAGTAATTTTTTCACTGGAACGGGATGATCATCTGCTCTTACCATTTTTCTTTTTTGTATTTCCTGGGAAGTAATTTTAGGTTCTTTCACTGGAGTATTTATAGACAAACAAGTAATTTGATTTCTGCACTGGGAAATTAGAGCTATTGGTGGCATAAAACAACATCCTATTGATTTGAAGGGATCAAATGGAGTTAAAAGTTTCATCTCCAAAACCGGGGGGCCTTTCTCCTTCTGATTGTATTAGTGATCCTGAGGAAAAGGAAGTCAGTGATGATGATGATGATGATCGAAACCACAAACATCGTAGACGAGAGACTCGTTCTCAGTCTTTGGAGAGAGATACTCTTGACCAAGTTATAGCAAGGCCATATAGAAAGCGAAATAAACCTTTTGCAAATGGGAACTCTTTCAGGGATAATGACTCTCAAGCAAGTACAACATGGAGAAATTACAATTCCACTTCTCAAGACTTTACTGTAAAATTTGATAAAAGACGCCCGGGATTAGCATCACTGCCTCGAGCACCTTTCGATTTAAATCAAAGAATCCGTGCAAACCAAGGATTTCTTGGAGACCCTGGTCTTGGTAGGGGAAGAGGAAGAGACTCTGGATCCAAATCTTTTTGCTGGACGCGGATTACCAAGTGTTTCCAGTGCACAGAATGCATCCTGGAATGCATTTGGATTGATTCCAGGAATACCTAATGGTGCCATGGATACACTACATTCCATTGGCTTGCAAGGAACACTCAGACCACCAATCCATTCTTCGATGAATATGGTGATTCCTCGTCAAAGATGTAGAGACTTTGAGGAGCGTGGATTTTGTCTAAGAGGGGATATGTGCCCGATGGAGCATGGTGTGAATCGGATTGTTGTTGAAGATGTCCAGGTACATTTATTGTGCATATCTTTCCTGTTACTTGAACATCAGTCGAATATATTTGACATAGCACCAATCACTTTAAAAATAGAAAATGGAAAGAGAATTGTGGCGATGTGTCTTTAGACTGAGGATCACCACATCTACTGGGGTACAGATGTTTATGTGAAAAATTCACCTCAGTATAGTACTTTTTTCTTGGTAATTAATAATGTGTTGTTTATACACTTGACGCTTTTTAAGTTTATCCAGCCAATATCTACTTGTCTGCAACCTGAATGTTTAATGCAAATACTTGAGGGAGAGATGATGCATGTTTCTGCATTATGATTCAGTATTATGAATGTTTTATTGACATTATAGCTTAACTTAAGGCTTTATTTAAATGTAATGTCTGCACCATCAACCATCTTCTTACACATTCATTATACCTGAATGTGTAATTTTGTACTCTATATGCATTGGCATGTGCAGGTCATACCTTGGTTCCGAAATCTTTAGGCTGTGACTTGATACCTTTTGTTTTTGTTATATTCTTTTGTATAATGCCAATCAGTTTGTGTATGTACCCACAAACACCTGTTTCTGCTGGTCTGTTTATGGTATCCTCGTTATTGAATGATTATTAGCCTTTGGATGTTTTTACTTTAGGACTTTCTGCAACAAGATCTAACTCCCCGTTTGCTAGCCATTTTTTCTTTTTGTGTTACCTAACTTGCCACTGGTCAAATGTTTAGCAGGGGGTTGGTATGGGTATATGATATATTTGATTCATCTGATCACAACTCATTCATGCATTTTTTTTATATTGCTGCACTTTCTCTTGGCTGGATATTTCATTCTCTGTAAACTTCATTCTTTTCTGGCCTGTGTTTTTACTTAAGTCCTAATTTCCCTCAATTACAGAGTCTTTCTCAGTTCAATCTCCCTGTATCAAGTGCACACCTACTGGGAAAACCCACTGGCCCGGGGTCTCTACCATCAGTCAGTGCATCTTCAGCTGCATTGATGAATAGCAAAGGCTTACATGGAAAAACAAGCAAGTCTGCTGTCAATGATGATGGTTTGGGCTTGAACGGTCCATATTCTGGTCCTGGTTATCTGGGTGGAGCTGATTTGTATGACCCTGATCAACCCCTGTGGAATAATAATGGTCCCGAAACCTCAAATGCACTTCTAGGCCTGCAATCACCTAGGAATGATGAAACTGAATCCTTGTCAAATGATGATCCATCTGATCGTAATCATGCCAGGTTAGATAGTGCTGATAATGAATGCCCAATTAGAAGCGTTGGGACAGTTGCCAATTCACAGAGTACAAGTGTGTCCGTGTGGGGTAGGATTGGCAGTTCAAAAAGTAAATTAGATGTGAAGGAGAAAATTGATCCTACAAATAATTCTTCAGATTGTATTGAGAGTGAAACTAAGGAAGGTAAGGAGGCATTAGTCAGCATTCAAAATCCACCACGTCAAGGGAAGCGTATCATGGCAGAAGATGGCCCAAAAGCCATGGATTCATCACCCAAGACACATTTTGATCCTACACGTAACATTCGGAAACCATCTCAAAAAGCATTGCGTACTCTATTTGTCAATGGCATTCCCCAGAAGAGCAACAAAAGGGAGGCTCTTCTTTCTCATTTCCAAAAGTTTGGAGAGGTCATTGACATTTATATTCCATTGAATAGTGAACGAGCTTTTGTCCAGTTTTCAAGGAGGGAAGAGGCTGAAGCTGCTTTAAAGGCGCCTGATGCTGTAATGGGTAACCGCTTTATCAAGTTGTGGTGGGCTAATCGTGATAGCATTCCTGATGATGGCACAGGCACTGCAAGTAATTTTCCTGGTTCAATTCCTCCGCATCCAATAGTTACTAGTATAAGCAAAGATAATCTTCAATCTGCTGCTCCAAAGAGTAGTATTGTCCATACATCTGATACTTTTCTACCTTCCGCTGATAACTCCAAGCCTGTCATCTCAAATGGTCCCAAGGCCCCACCTCTGCAGAAAAAGCTAGAGAATTTAGAGCAGTTAAAGGAGGAACTTCGCAAGAAACAGGAAATGCTGGACCAGAAACGAAATGACTTTCGTCGCAAATTGGACAAACTTGAGAAACAAGTAAACCATCTGCCCTTACCTTGAATGTTTCATTTTCTTGCTAATGCTACTTGTTTGATATGAGGCATATATCACCTTGGCTAGCTTTACAAATTTTGCTCATGTCATACTGCCATCTCAATGTTCCTTATTTGCTAAGACGGTCTTTTTGCATGGTTTCAAAGAGATCTTAGAAAGGGTTTGAATTTGATTTATATAAAGATGTGGGTGCAAATTTATTAGTGGGGTACATGATAACACTATTATTTCATTATTAGCTTTGCTCAAGGTTTGACTTTTTTCAGGCTACTGGACCCAAGGGTGAGGCAGACATAGAGCAAGCTGCTAAGAGACCCAAAGTGGGAATAACAGCTGATGTTGGTAAAGTTGCTAATCTAAAGTCCTCAAATCCGACTCCTATGGAAGAACTGCATGCTGAGATGACTGATAAAAACAAATGTGTAGAGAATGTTGTCTCCTGTAGTCCAAAAACCAGTACAACTATGGTGCTGCAGCAATCCACTAGCTTGAAGCAGCTGAGTATTCGTCCATTGGGATCAATAGGGACTCCTTCTCCAGTGAACAGATACAAATTAGACAATCGTCCCACTGCATTTAGAATTCTTCCTCCTTTACCCGCTGGATTCGCAAATGTAAGTCTCTCTCTATCCTCCCCCCTCTCAAATCCTTCCCACTCAACCGCCAAAAAGTGAATAAATGATCTCTGCTCTTGGATATATGGCTGCAATACATGTGCGTCACACATTCCTCAATGAATGGGCCTATGTGTTAATCATGAGCAATAAAGCAATGAGTGCGTTTTTTTAAGTAGTATGGTAAGATTTTAGATGAGGCATTAGGATCATTTATTAGGAATATGTGCAATACTTTAGATTCCATTACATTAGAGATCAGGATAAAGTTCTAGCAAATGCACAGAATGATTTCAATCAAACACAAACATGCTAGTTTATAAACATGAGTCTTAAAAAACACAACCATTTTTTCTTCCTTAATACCTTTTCCATATATCCTTCATATTTGCAGTAATTTTTTTGTTTGGTAAAATATAATCCATTCTGGTCCTAGGTTTTCTTTTCAGTTGCATCACATTGAAATGGTCTGGAATCTGTTGGTCTTAGTGTAATTTTATCTATGTACCAATGAAAGTAAACTGATGTTTTGTGCTTTCTAGGTTGCTATTATGAAGGAACACTTTTCACCCTATGGAGATCTTTCTAATGCGGAGTTGGAAGATCTGGAATCCCGTGATTGTGGTAGTGAGTCGGAGGCATCGAAAGATTGCTCAGCTTGTATAACTTTCACGACACGCCGTTCAGCGGAGAGGGCATTTCTCAATGGTAAATGCTGGGAAGGACACGATTTAAAATTTATGTGGCTGACATCTAGCATTTCCAGCAATGACCGTAGTGGCAGAGAAAATTCTCCATCCACCACCACCACCCCCAAGGGGCCAATAATAGCTGATGTTGAGCCTGCAGATGAAGTAGCGGACAGTGGTTCCCAGGAAGCTGCTGCTGCATCAGGAAATGGAGAACCTGAACATTCCGAAGGACAAGGTGGTGTTGAGCACGTGGAACCGGGAGAGTATTCCCAGTCTAGTTCGAGGTCAACATCTGGTGAGAAAGAGTCATCTAAAGGCGAAGCAATGTAATTTACACATGGGCTAATTTTCAGATTTGTACAGTCAGGTAAATGTTAAATCTGAGAAACTCTAATTTTCCAGGAAACCTGCTTTAGCAATTGCTTAAATTTTTATTTTCCAGTGTTTCTTATTTGTATGCATGGGATTTGTAAAAAGGGAATTTCCTATTTTTGACTTCTACCTGAGGATAGTTGAGTGGTGTACCATGTTGTCTTTCTGCTTAGATATGTCTAGGACCAAATCATCAAAGTTGAAAATTCTGTTGAAACATTTAAACGGTTACATAGAAGAAAATATTAGGGATTTGATTCCCTTTCAGTTTTATGCAAGTTGATCCAGTAATTTTACTGAATTCTCACTGGATTGTGATACTATTTGCTTTTTATGTATTTGCTCTCTGAAATAATATTTTCAGTGCTTATCACTTCATTAAAGAAAAGATTCGACGTGTCAAAAAATGTCCCTTTGATAATTTTGTCTTTCTATGTCAAAGACAATACAGTAATTGTTGGAAAGTTTAATGGATACCAATTGAAAAACAAAAAAACATTGTAACTAGCAGTTCTAACTTGTAGAGGGGAGGTGAAAACAAAAAGGTTTATCATATTTTATTTGAACAAGAATGAGCCATCACAGTTTGAAGTCGACAAAAGAAGAAAACAGCTCTTCACAAGTGTCAAACTGTGATTGGCCGAAACAAAATAGCCGAAGCGTTGTAGAGCATGATGAGTCAGCCGCCCAAAAAAGAAAGGGTTTGAAACGCCAGAAGCTAACTGGTCCAGCAGCGATGGCAAAGGAAGAAACGGACATAAAAATGAGGGGCTCAAATGAAATAAAATAAATATTCAAGGAATAGAACCATAATCAAGTGCAAAGAAGAGTAGCCAATTTTGGTGAGCTGCCTGAATGATTCTCTGTTTCTTGCTTTCTTTCACCTCTCCTGCGCTACACGCCGGTTGAATATAAAATAAAGAGTCGACAGACAAACTGAAGAGAAGGGAATATTCGAATATGGTCCATTCGAGAATCGACTCTTTCTTCATTCTTATTATTATGAGTTGTAATTAACACAAAATGTACCCAACATTTGAAAATATAATATAATTTTAATTTAACATGTTAAAAGAAAAGGTTATACAGCAAAGATGGACCCAAGCCAAGAACACCAAATCATATTTTCTGACTGCCAGTGCCAAACAAGCAAATAAGAAACGAGCAAATCGATTGGTCCTAGAATTCCAACCCATGACTTCCATTTCCAGCTGGCTGTGGTAAATTGTGGGCAATCAACTCAACTGCGATGCCAGCAGCAGCATCTCAAGTTTAGTTTTGTAGACCTTGAAGAACACTGATAATGGAAAATTGAGAGAGACATTCCGAAGTTGAAGGTCTCAGCAGGTCTGCCATCTACCAGTCAGTCAGGCTTCAGTTTCTCCGTGATAGAGTCCCCCGGGCCCCAGCACCTCCTAAAACAAGTAAGCTTCAGCCAGGAATTCATTGCTTTAAATCACAGACATGCTCAATCAGGAGGAACTTCCTGGAGTTCTAATATAAGTGCAGAGCATGCATCACATGGTTCAAAAGTCACCTTCTATAGCAGCAAAGCAATTGAAGACCCCAAACTGAAAATTGGTCCCCATTTGACCTTAACTTCCTATTACTACCCCCATTACATTAGAATAAGTGCCACTGCCACTGCCAAACAAGTCACTACCCTGGCAGTGGCTCCTCATCTATGCCATGCTTTTCAGCCAATCCCTTTACCTTTCCCTCGTTATCCACCAAGAAGCACAATCACCAGATTCACCCTGGAAAACACATATCATGGTTGGCAATGTACTAGAGTGAAAGCATGTTGCATTGCACCTAGAATATCGGTCATAGGATACAACAAAATCCCTCACATCATCTTACCTAGGACGACAATGCCCAACATTCTTCTTTCTAAGTTTATTCCACATGAAGCTTGTCTTTATCTGGTCTTGCAGTTCTCCATAATCCATGGATCACATACTTAAATGTAAGGCTATTCGGCGCAAAACCCACTTTCATCATCCTATCCTGCAACTCCAACAACTTGGCCATATCACCATCCTCACAGAAGACTTTGACTAGTGTATTGTAACTTTCAGAATCAAAAACTTGAAATTCTTTGGCAAACAAGCCTAACAATGTTTCTGCTTTATCAATATCCCTTTCTTTGCAGTACCCCTTTATCAATGACCTGCATATCTCTAGATTAGGAGCCAAACCAGATTCAGCCATCTCTTCCATTAGAGATTCACCTTCCGCTGTTCTACTTATGTGACATAGACAGCATATTAGAGTTCTGTATGTAATAAGATCGGGTTTAATGTTCTTACGTACCATCTCAGCTTTCAAAAGCAGTGCCTCTGCCACATAAAGGTTTTCACAGAGAGACTCAATCAATTTGTTATAGATATCCAAACCAGGCAGATGACCATCCTTAGAACTTCTTTCTAATAGACTTTTAGCTGCAAATGGTCGAAGTTCTTGACACAAGGCAACTATTAGATAATCATAAACATCATGAGAAATAGACACTTGAAATCTTTGAAGCTCCACAACCAAATTCAGAGCAGAGAGCAGCTTACCTTCTTTGCCATATCCTTCTATGACTATCCTACAAGTGAAATCATCCGGACAAATACCATTTCTGATCATCTCATGCAACAATGATCGAGACTCTTGCATCTTCCCCTCATGGCAATAACCACTAATAAGAGTGTTATACGATACAGTGTCTGGATCCAACCCTCTATCAATCATCCGATGAAAAATCTGATGAGCCTCCCTTACCTTCCCTTGTTTACAAAGACCATTCATCAAGGCAGTATATGAAACCATGTCTGGCATCACACCTCTCCTATACATGATCTTATACAAATAAAATGCATCTTCCAACCTTCCTTTCCTACAATAGCTACTAATTAGAGTATTATATGTCACAATATCGGGATCAAATCCTTCTTCTTCCATTTTCTCCAAAAATGCATTCACTTTATCAACATCTCCATCCTTGCACAAAACATTAATCAAAATATTAAAAGTATACACATTTGGGTGTATCCCAATCCTTCCCATCTCCTCATGTACTTCCCAACACTGGTCAATACAATTCAACTTCACTAAACCATTCAAAAGACAATTACAAGCAATCACGCTGGGAATAAAACCAACCCTTATTGTCTTTTTCAAAGTGCTAAAACCATCTCCAATCATACCTGCTTTCACATAAGCCTTAATGAGCATGTCAAAGATAACTGGATCCCAGTTACAATCTTCAGTACACACAACCAAATTTTGAAAAATGTCATCTTTTGGTGAAACATCTCTGACCAACTCTATCAACTCCCATAACAATTTCATAGCTTGCGGAAACTTTTTGGAGCATGCCAGAATATGAATAACAATACAATAATTCTGGGTAGTGGGTCTGAGACCCAAACCATTCTTGACCCAATTGAAAAAAACAAGAGCTGAGGAGTAATCAGATTGAAATCTGAGCAGAACCCTGGAAATTTCTTGAGCACCTAGATGAGGAAGAAGCTCTTTAATGTCATTTTGAAGAAGGGCAAGATGGGCGTTTCCTTGCTTAAGGCTTGAACAGATGAGATTCACTATGTTGTTGGGGTTTTGGGTTTGGGGAAGAAAATGATAAAGTGGGTTTGAAACTGATATGGAGTGAGAGTCTGGGATGGTCTGTAGAGCAGAAGAAGAAGAAGAAGAGAGAGCTGATATTTTTAGTATGAAATTGATGTTCAAGAGTGGTTTTGTATAATATGGAGAGTTGGCTGACACAAAGATCCGATTTATGGAACATGTTGAAGCACGATGCATCGCTAGCTAATAGAGAGATGGATGGAGCGAGCGAGAAAGGCACCTGCCGCGAGTCTGCAACATGGACAGAGGCGTGAATAAAGCAAAATATTGTCACCAATCGGCAAATATTTTTAGATAAGACAAACGACCTTGGGGTCAATTCGTGAATAATGAAAAATACGTAATGCCGTTTCTACCCTACTAGACTTGGCATTTTTTATTCAATTACAAATTACTCGTGTGTTTACTTTACATAAAGGAAAGAAAATGCAAGTGAGCTCACACAAAATCTGGAATTCAACTCATAATTTTGGAGGAAATAAATTCTTAGGTGGGAGGTGGTATTCTTTTTGACCAATTATATCCTCACACAGTTTTTAAAATTTCAAATTTGTCACTCACTTTAACCCAACAACAAAGGTAATCAAACTAGTTTCAACTCCGATTCATTGGAATTGTAAACAACTTATAAGGAATCAACTACCATTCCTACCCCAGTTCTAGATAGTTTAGCAAACAACTTCAATGTTGTTAACGGGCGAATTTGTACCTAACAGATTAAGACATAATCACACACATAATACAAGTGTTTGAGTGGTTCACCCATAATGGGGCTACATCCACTATAGCTTATAGCTTTGTATTTATATTTGAATATGGAAATTACATTGTACATGAGAGAGATATGAGGAGAGAGGCTTGAGAGCTCTAGTAGAAGAGAAAATAGAAAGCTTGGGAGAGCCTTTGGACAGCTCTTGGAGAAGTGAAGAAGTAGCAGCTAATCCCCTGGCTAGGAGGTGGTGAGCTCCCTTTTATAGTCCAAGTTAGAGTAGACAAGGTTAATTGATGGCTGGTACACTTGGCATGACCCCCTTTCATTTGGGGTCTTGGGCCTTGAGAAGACATATGAGGGGGCATGGCTAGTTACTCTTTGTTTGGTGGGATGTGACATAGGACAAGCAATGGGCTATCCCTTAATTGGTGGGATTTGCTTAAGAGGGAAGGTAAGGTTAACATGGTGTCAACAAATGGGAATCAAGATTCTAACTCCTCCTCAATCAAACTCCTCATCAATTGATCCTTAATTCAATTTCTCCTCATCTCATCTGATTACAATTTTTTTTTTTTTTTTTTTAATGATTACAGATTAGTAAACATGCCAAACCAAATCGCTCGATTTTAAAAGATCTTTCATGTTTTGACTTCAGGTTGCACTTCGAGTGCATGACGAGCTGAGAGAGCTAAGGAGGACAACGACCCGTCGTCTAAGTACTACTTGCCCCTATTCCAACACTCTCTTTCACTTTCTGCTATACAAGACCAAGTTCTTCCAGATCCTTTTGTTAAAGTGTGAAACT